CTCTCATAGGAAGTAATTTGATGACTCATGGGATAGTGTTGGTTCAAGGTTTAAAGAATATCTCAGAGCAATAGTCTTGGCGAGTCCTCCAGTCTCAAATGGTCCAATGAGTCTGGACTTTTTAAGAATTTGAGTTCTGTTCCACATTTTGCTCCCACTCTATCAGGATCCATCTATTGTGTTTCTGATCAGAATGGTTTATAGTGGTCGCGGGGTGCCATCTAGTTCTTCTAGTCTCAGGGTCGATGTGGTTGTGGTTTGTGCAGACTATTAGTCCTGTGGATTAGTTTCTTCTCTGATTCTTTGCTTTCCTTCAATCTCTTTTACTCCAGATGCATAGAGACCAATAGCTGTATCTTAGATGGCTGCTCGCAAGCTTTCATGACACTAGTTGCTACTAACCCAACTAGGATGAAGAACATACCTAGTTAGCAGTCAAATGCCTTAGGCACTATGCCACCAGAGCTCCTATACTTACTTTAAATACTGCATTCTGCCAATTCACTTAGTTATCCCAGGAGATTATGTTCATAAACCTTCTGACCCCATAAACCAATCCTGTAAGGTGTTTAATATGTACCTGTGTTTGTGCCCCCATGTGCTTTATTGTATATATGAATATATATGGATACATACACTTACATTTACATATCACCTGCATATGGATATATCTATATATTGTTGTTGTTGTTATGTGCCATCGAGTCGGACCCGACTCATAGCGACCCCTCCTTGGGTTTCCGAGGCAGTATCAGTACGGAAGTAGATTGCCCCATCTTCCTTCCGAGGAGTGGCTGGTGGGTTTGAACCGCTAGCCTTCTGGTTAGCAGTCAAATGCTTTAGGCACTATGCTACCAGAGCTCCTATATAGCCACCTATATATACACATATACATACCCATACACTTGTATGCATGTGTACATACACATGTCCATGCCCTTATTATTAAGTTGTTGATGCACAGTTGTATATGTCCTAGTGTTTACCAAAAAGGTCTTCTTTTTTTGCTTACTTCTTCATGACATCATTTACCTTGTCCGGCTGTGCACACTTTATACACACTTGGTGTTATATTTTTTGTCCCCCCATATAGCAAATGTTTACTCTCTAGAAGGTGGTCCACCCTCCCCTCACCATTCCTGGTAACCACCAGTAAACATCGGTTTCAGTATGTATACCTATTTTGTCTTTTAACAAGAGTAAAATCATACAGTATTTGTCCTTTTGAAATCGACTTATTTCACTCAGCATAATCTCCAGTTTCACCCACATATTTTGAGAACTCATTCTAATTCCTTATGGCTACTGTGAAAAGCACATGGGGGCAGCATCCTCTGACCTCCTCTAACTTCACAATGGGAAGAGAGGAGGATCAACACCAACAGCCCAAAGCTGATTCCTGTGAGGACAGACATGCTACACTCTCCAGCCTTTTTACCAATTCTGACACTAACCATCCTTCCCACAGCATTCACTACTTACCTGCTAGATTTGATAATTTGTTGCAATGGCTGCACAGAACTCATAGACAGTACTCACAATTATGCAGTTTTTTAGGGAAGTAACAGGTTACAATTCAGGTCCAGGAATGCTGAGGATACAATTCTTTGATCAGGACAGCCTCCCCTCTGCCATGCCCATAGTCACACCTCTTTGGCCCTTAGACTCTTGGCCTGGCCTCTGCCCTGCTCAGGCAAGTGTTACAAAGCTCTTTTAGCTTTGCCAGTAGGTATAGCTAGGTGTACCCCCACTCTGCCAGCAAGCCTCCTGTACAAAGGCACCCACCCAGCTTTCTTGCTCTGTGGGCTGGCAAGCCCACCGCTCTATCTCATGCTGGTCTCTTGGTTCTGCTGCCATCTCTCTCTGCCATCTCTGTCTGTGCCAAGGAGGTCCGGCTCAGGGATCTTCGGTCCAAGGACATGCTCCACTCTACCTCTGGCCCTTCTCTCTTGATGGCAGTGAGATCCCCCTTTTGCCTCTGGGAGGGTTCATTTTAAGTCTACTGCAATGACAAAACTGACTGATTCCCACATTAGGGTGCCATATACCTTCTTTCCATGATCCCACTCCACAGGGTGCCATGTACCTTATTTACATTATTAAGAAGCTATCCAGTCCCCTTGGTAGGCCACAAAGCACCTCACATTTACATAGATCCACTCAGTCATCTGGTAGGAATCACAAAGACCATGGCTAGAAGAGCCATACCAAGTAATTCACTGCACCATGGCTACATAGTATTCCACTCTACATATGTTCCATGTTTTGTTTATCCATTCATCCATTGATGGGCACTTAGATTGTTTCCATCTTTTAGCTATTGTTAATAATGCTATGGTGAACATAGGTGTGCATATGTCTTGTGTCTTTAGTATGGATCTCTAGGGTATATATCTAGCAGTGGGATTGTTGGATCATAAGGTAGTTTTATTTCTAGTTTTTTTTGAGAAAGCTCATACTGTTTTCCGTAGTGGTTTGTACTGTTTTACACTTCTACCAGCAGTGGATAAGTGTTCCAATATCTCCATATCCTCACCAACATTTGTTGTTTTCTGTTTTTATTTTTTTCATTAGTGCCATTTTTGCAGAGATGAAATGGTATCTCATTGTAGTTTTAATTTGCATCTCTCTAATTACCCACCAGCCACTCCTCGGAAGGAAGATGGGGCAATCTACTTCCATAGTGATACTGCCTTGGAAACCCAAGGAGGGGTCGCTATGAGTCAGGTCTGACTCGACGGCACATAACAACAACAACAATGGCTCATGAAGGAGCTCTGGTAGCATAGTGCGTAAGGCACTTGACTGCTAATCAGAAGGCTGGCGGTTCAAACCCACCAGCCACTCCTCAGAAGGAAGGTTGGGCAATCCTACTTCTATAGTGATACTGCCTCAGAAACCCAAGGAGGGGTCGCTATGCATCGGGGCTGACTTGACGGCAAATAACAACAACAACAATGGCTCATGATTGCCATCATCTTTTTATGTATCTGTTGGCCACTTGAATGTCCTCTTCGGTGAAGTGTCTGTTCATGTCCTTTGCCATTTTCTGATTAGATTGTTTGTCTTTTTGTTGTTGAGTTGTTGAAGTTTTCTATATATTTTAGAGATTAGGCATTTATCAGATTTGTTGTTCCCAAAGATGTTTTCCCAATCTGTAGGCTCTCTTTTTACTCTTTTGATAGTCTTTTGATGAGCATAAGGATTTAATTTTCAGGGAGTGTCCTCTCTGTTATCTAATTTGACTTCTATTGTTCATGCATTGGTAGTTGTGTTTGATCATTTATTTTTGTAAAAAAATTAAGTCCTGTAGTTTTGTCTCTATGTTTTTTTCTAAGATGTTTATAATTTTAGCTTTAGCATTTAGGTCTTTGATCCATTTTGAGTTGGTTTTTGTGTATAGGGTGAAGTATAAATCTTGTTTCATTTTTCTGCACATGGCTATCCAATTTTACTAGCACCATTTGTTGAAGAGACTGCTTCTTCTCCACTGAATGAACTTTGACTCCTTGTCAAAAATCAATTGCCCAGAGATGGATGGATTTATTTCTGGTTCTCAATTCTATTCCACTGGTCTTTGTGCAATGAAAATACTTTGAAACTATCAAATATTGTACTAATATAAGGGACTGCATTAAAGATTGTCTAGGAGAAGCAGCACAAGGTTTGGAGTCAAACAAACCTGTGTTCAAATCTCAGTTCCAAGATTGAATGGCTATATGTCCTTGGGAAAATTACTTAATCTCTCTGAGCTTCATTTTCTCTATCTGTCAAATGGGCATTATAATGCCCATCCTATCAAATTGTGAGAATAGATTTAGGTGACAAATGTAAAATGCCTCCTGCAGTGCACTAGTACATATAAAAGTTATCATGTGTAAATATTACTCAGGCAAAAAGAGAAATAAAGTTCTCATATATATTACAACATGGATGAACCTTGAAAACATTATGCTGCATGAAATAAGCCAGTCACAAAAGAACAAATTGTATAATCCCACTTATATTAACTCTCTAGACTAGGCAAGTATGTTGTTGTTGTTATGTGCCGTCGAGTCGGCCCCAACTCATAGCGACCCCTCCTTGGGTTTCCGAGGCAGTATCACTACGGAAGTAGGATTGC